AGTCCCCTAGGGACTGGGGCTCACTCACAGTTCCCATTGGAGGAGGAGGAGGACTGAGGGTCCCCCAGTCCGCGCTGCCTGTGTCAGGTGCGGCGCCTCCAGGGCTGCTTATATGAGAAGGTGTAGCAGCCTGGCTGGAACTTCCCTCCCAGCAGCCAATGCTCCAGCAGCAGTGGCAAGCTCCAGGCCAGCCCCACCAGCCTGAGCCTTCTCACCTCTGGGCAGGGATGGTGACCGCAGCCAGGGGGAAGAGTCTCAGAGGCCCCTTTATTGCACCGCCTTTGGCCTGGCTTCCTAGGGTTCCCTGAGTGGCCTCTTTGGGGGAGGGGAGGAGTCATCCCTGCTTACCTCCCCCTGTCTCCCTCTCTCCCCTCTCAGAAGAGTTTGCTTCTGCCCTCTCCTGGGCAGCAAGAGAACAGGAGATTGCCCTCTCCTGGGACATCATCAACTCTCCTACCACAGGGCTGGGCACACAGGTTGCTCAGAAGAAGGAGCGCTTGCTTGCCTTTGGCTTGTACTGTTTTTGCCAAGGGGAAGAGGGTGGCCAACCCTAAATGCCACCTGACTGAAACTGAACCTGGTGGCCAGGGTGGGGCTAGGGGTCAAGGGACCTGGAACTGTCCCGGACACAGCCACTTCCTGGCTGTATGAGCTTCGTCCTGTCACTAAACCTCTCCGAACCTCTGTTTGTACTCAGGGCAAATGGAGGTGTCCATGCCTGCCTTCCAAGCTGCTGGGAGCTTAACCCTGGGTACAAGCCTTTGAGCAAGAGCCCACAGGACTGTTAGCCTCTTTGGGACTGCGTCTTGCCACACTTTGTCCCCAGTGTCCAGCACGGTGACCAGCCCACCCCAAGCGCTCAATATGTGCAACTAGAGTGCATGGGGAGTGACAAGACTGTAAAACACCATCCATGGCAGGAGCTCCTCTGTTCTGGGGGCCCCTGGCCCTGCCCGGTAGCCTGCCCTAAGCCCCGAACTGCTGCTTAATAGACGGGTGTCCCCACATGCTCCCCAGTGCCCCCATGCCATGCCATCCCCACATCCTGCCCCTCTGCACCCACTTTCTTTCTTTCTTTTTTTTTTTTTTTTTTTGCGGAGTCGTCTCGCTCTGTGGCCCAGGCTGGAGTGCAGTGGCTGGATCTCAAGCCTGTAATCCCAGCACTTTGGGAGGCCGAGACGGGCGGATCACGAGGTCAGGAGATCGAGACCATCCTGGCTAACACGGTGAAACCCACTTTCTTCTGAGATCCCTTCTCAGCAACGACCTCCTCCTCATCTTCAGCCTCCGCATCTCCTGCCCACCCACCTGAACCTGGGGACCACGTTTCCATCCATGACCTACACCCGCTCTGGCTACACTGTGTCTCTCTCCTCCTGCCCGTTGTCCACACGCTCAATTCGCACCCTCACTTCACTCCTGACCACTGCCCTCTGCCTTCAGCACCCCCCGACCAGCTGAGCTTCTAGTGGCCACTTCAGGTAAGTGGTATAAGGCCTTTCTCTCACGTGACCTTCCTGTGCGTCCTTCTTCTGGCCACTTCTTGGCCTCTGAGCCAGCACTCTCACGCTTCTCTTCCCTTTGTCTGGCACCTAAATCCAGGTGGGCCCCAGCTTTTCTTCACCCTACTCCTCCCCAAGTTGCCCCCTACCCCAACCTCAGTAAGCAGCACCACTGTCTGCCCACGAGTGCCAGCCAGGAACCTAGAACTCAACCGGATTTCCCTCCCACCTCCCTCGGCCCCCAGGCCCTGCCCATCCACCTCCCAAACCTCTGTTACCATCACATGACCACGAGACCACTAAGAGCTTCGGCCATGCTTGAAGCCCTGGCCACAGGGATATTTTTCTCAATCCCACTCCTGTCTCTGCTGAAAGCCTCACAGCAGCTGCAGGATAACGTGCACATTCCTGGCAAGCGCCCATGAGGCCCTGCCCGGGTGGGCACCCACTCCCAACCCTAAGCTCCACTCCTGAGCCCCGGCCCCATGTCTTCTCTTGCTGGCCTCCTATCCAAGAGGGCGACTCCCCCAGGAACGTGGCTGTGCCTCAGTCCTCTCCAGATCCAAAGGCTCACCAGGGTTTGGCAGGTATTCAGCTAGTTCACGCCTGATGAACGAGTGAATGGGCCTGGAGGATCATGGTGGCAAATGCCGCCTGGGACAACTAAGGGCAGGGGTGGGGTTCCCTTGGGGGGCAGGACTAACTCCCTACCCTGGACTTTGTTGGGGGTGGAGCACCAGGGAGACCCACAGCTGCCTCTTGAATAAAGCTCCGTGCAGGGAACGTGGTATTATTGCACCCATCGCACAGGGGAGGAAACAGGACCGGAGATGCAAAGTGACTTGTGGAGGTCACACAGTGAATTAGGGCCACGAGTGGGGCCAAGGAGCAGCCTGTCTCTGGCTAATGTCCTAGATGCCCCCCTGGGTAAGTCCCCTGCCCCCATCACCTGTGCCCCTCCCCCAGATGCCACTGCAACTAGGAACCTGCTAGGAGCTGGAAGAAGGATGGGCAGAGGGGCCACCTGGCAGGCGCCCTGGCAGCCGGGGTGACCTGTGTTCTCAGGAGATGTCAGGACCTGGGCAGTCTCCTTCCTCTTTGGTCCTGGGGCCTGGAGTGGTGGCCCTTGGGCAGACCTACAGAGCCCTGGCTCATAGGTATGGGACTGCCACACCTCTGCCCTTTTCAACACACACTGTGTGCACTCTGTCTGAGCCAGACCCTGGGCCAGATGCGAGGTTCAAAGAGCAAGGCCATTCCCCCACCTCCAGGGGCTCCGCTCAGACGGGCAGGCACCCTCCCACCGTCACCAGCACAGAGAATGTGGAGAGGCCGAGAAGTGCGCCACCGGGAGCCTGCGCAGGATACTGAGGGGCGCTGGGGGAGAAGAGGGCTGGCATCCAGCCACCCATCCCAGAGAAGCTGCCTGGCCGGCTGTCAGCGGCACGAAACAGGAACCAGCCGCGGTCCTCAGCCCCGCCTGTCGGGTGGCGTTCTCCATCCTGGCCGCAAGGCGGCGGGCTGCCGCTGCAGGAGCCGGAGAGAAGGCGGCGCAGACCCAGGGAAGCCAAACGAGGACGACCTAGAGAGTCTGGGTGGACCCTCTGTTACTGCCAAGCGCTTCGAAGTCTTACCTCGTTTAAGGCTCACAACCCTAATCCTTAGGTATTGTGCTTACACCAGAGGACGCTGGGCCTGGGGGAGCGTCCTCGTGTGTAAGTTAAGTGGCTGTCCGCAGCTGGCAGGTGACCCAGCAGAGTCCAATTCTCCTTTCCCCAGCCTCAAAACCTGAGCTCTGCATTGTAACGAGACGGGCGGAGGGAAGACCCAGCAGCGGGCCTACGTGTCTCCTTCGTCTGGGCATCCCGGACTCAGTCCTGGCACATGGTGGGCATCAATGTTCATGGTAATGACATCAGGCACAGCGAAAGAAATTAGGGGCTCCCAAGGTTCAGAGGTCATCTGTCCACCCCCTCCCTTTGGGCTGAAGAACAAACCCAGACCCTGAGTGAGGAAGGGAACTGCCTCTAGATCATCACACGGCGGGTGGCAGATGGCAGAACGGTTCTGAGCATCCTTTCTTCCCCTCGGGCTGCCCCTCCCTGAAAAGTTCCTAAAGTTCAAAATGTCAGGGTCGCCCAGAGTGTTCTGGGGATGTAAGAGTGTTTATAAAACGTGCTCTATTTTCGATTTCCCAGATTAACACAACTGGATTCTGAAGAGGAAAAAAAAAGCAACCTTACTTAACCGGACGTCTTTCTGAAACAAACTCATCAGGAGTTCTTTAAAAAATAAAAAGGAACTGAAATTCTGGAAGCACCCTGAAAGGGAAGCAGACGCCTGACTTTCACATCCACCCACTCATCTGACCCCAGGCTCCTGGGAGACGGGCAAGGCGGTTGAGCTGGCGGCAGGCCCGCAATCCCCCGTTCCATGCCCAGAAGCGCTTCGGAATACAGAACAGCTGGGACTTGGAAAGATATCGTGAGGCACCCACCTGCTGTGGGTTACATTACCTCCCATCAGGGCTTGGGGCAGCCGCCGGCTATCGCGCTCATTTGCATTTCTGCAGCAAAATATGAATATTCACACAAGCGCCATAAATAAAGACCATCAACAGCCTCACATCAGTTCAAGCGCAATTTTGCCACCAATTGGATTACGGAAAACCTTTTGGGCTTCCAGGGAGCTTTGGGGCCTGGGAATTGCAGATGAGGGACTGGGAGCCTGCACTGTTTCGCAGCTGGGGAGAGGGAGCTCATCCGAAGTCTTCGGACAAAGGTGGGCGTCGTGCCCGATGCTGAGCGGAGCGGGTCTCCTCGCGCCCAGGCTCCCTGCGGGCGCGGTCCCCAGTGAGCCTCCC